TGAAGTGGGCCTTCGAGGGTTTGGAGTACAGACTAACACAGAGCGATTCCGAACCGTCTCTTTGGAAAATCCAGGATTCCAGCAACGCTTTGAAGGGGCTCATTGGCGTATATGTTGACGATATGCTCTTGAGTGCTTGCAGAGGCTTATTGGAATCAGTGGCAGGGGCCATTCAGACGCTTTGGGAGACCAGCGACATTAAGTTTGCGGAGGACGGTTTGCACTTTCTTGGTGTTGATATCCGGCTGCACAATGGTAGGTATTACCTAACACAAGTGAGCTATGTCACCGAGTTGCTGAACAGGCATCCCGAAATTGAGGGGACTGCGTCGACGCCGTATCCAGCTGAGAAGGATCAGGAGACCCAAGAAGAGAATATCCAGATGGAGTCGGTTCGCTTAGTGCAGGGGCTGATTGGAGAATTAACGTGGTTGGCCACGAAAACAAGGTTGGATATCGCGTGGGCGGTGAACCGTGCTTCTCAGCTTTCTAGCAAGCGTCCTAGCAGGGCGATTGCAGTGTGCCAAAACATCGTGCGATATCTCCGAGGAAAGCCGGATTTGGGCCTGGTGTACGGGCCGAAGCCTGCGCAGGGCGTGAAGGTCGAAATGACGGAGGGGACTCTAGAAGTCGCCACAGACGCGTCGTTTGCACCGCTGGGCGAAAAGTCACAAACCGGCGTGGTGTTAAAATGGGCCGGCGCTGTCATCGGCTGGGTTTCCTCAAAGCAGACGTTCGTCTGCCTGAGTTCGGCAGAAGCTGAGCTATATGCGGCCATGGAAGGTATGGTCATGACAGACAGTGTCAGTGACCTGGTACGCGAACTAGTAGGGCAGGTGGCGCCAGCTCTCTATTCGGACAACGTTGCATGCACTTGCTTGATCGCTCTCCCGGCGGGCTCATGGAGAACCCGTCATTTGAGACTTCGCGCGAGAAGATTGCACGAGAGAATAGAGAATGAGGAGCTTCAATGTTTTCACCTACCAGGGGAGGTCATGACCGCGGACCTATTAACCAAGTCGCTTTCGTCTCAGAGGATGCAGAAGCTACTTGACTTGGCTGGAGTCGTCCAGTTGTCCCATGTCTTAAGATGCGCCGTGGTGGTGCTGAGCATCTCCAGAGCGCAAGCTCAGCCATCTGAAGATGAAGAAGATGAAGCGTCATGGGTTCCACTTCTGCTAGTAATGGGGTTCACGGTCTTAATCGCAAGACTTTTGGAACTGTGTTTGCGATGGTGTTGGAGTCAAGGGGCAAGGAGACTTAGAGATCTTCAGGGGCCACCTGAGAACGGAGAACTAGTAGGGTCTGTTCTAGAACAAGTATCTTCGCAGGGAGCTGTAGACGGGTCTGAGGTGACAGTAGTCGCTTTTGGGGATGACGTTGGACTGGTAGGGCCAGAGGATCAGGTCGAAGTTGTGGCTGCGGACTTGATCGCTAGGGCGCTAGAAGAAGAAGAACGAGCCTTGTTTCATAGGTGGTATGCTCTATATGTTGAGCCCTATGATCCCTACGACCCGTTGTTAGATGAGTCCCCATCCCGCAGAGCCTCTCTTGAAGACATTTGGTCGGAACCTCAAAGCCCAAATCCCGAACCTGAAATAGGACAGGGGTCTAGGACCGGGGGAGTAGAACTGTCTCAGGCGGCAGGGCCTAAAACTAAAGCTCCAGATCCTAAGTCAAGTACCCAAACTTCCTTTCAGGGGCACCATCCCTCGTTGAGTTCTGGGCTTTCGGAAGAGTCTCTGGTTTCGGGTGGGAGTCTTGAAGTAGACCCTAAGAGTAAGCCTCCTGCACCAAAACCGCCCCCGGATGGTTGGTTGGGAACCGTTGTAAAAAGGCCTCCGCCCGTGACATCGCAGTCTGTAGCTATCCCTATCCCTAAGCCGAAACTACCGCCTGAAGGTTGGTTGGGAACTGTTGCCCCAAAGCATCCAACCGCGAAGGCACAGTCTGTAGGTGTCCCAAAGTCTCCTCCTGTTAAGCAACCCCCACCAGCTCCGAAATTGAACCCGCAAGCTCATCAGGACATGATATTAATCGCGCAGACACAAGAATTGATTCAGTGGGAGCTTCGCCGAAATCTCGGCCATCAGCCCATTGAAGGGCTCAGAGATAACTTCCACTACATTCCCGAACTTGGTCTGCTGATAAGATGGCATCCGATGTGGCGCCAACAGTTCTTCGACCCAAGTCGGACAGCACTTCCGATATCACTAAGCAGGTTGGTTGGGGATCGTCGGTCTTTCTGTATCTTCAAGGATGGTACCAGTGGCATTCTTGATGACAACTTCAGGGTCACGCGCCAAGGGGCGAACGTCTCAACGATGCAATGGCAGGGGAGAACTGAGTTCCTTGTAGCTCCTCCAACCCCTATAGCTCCTGTACCAAACCCTCCTCCAAGCAAATCGAAAGCCGCAGGTCCCAAACCAAAATCTAAGCCGAAATCTCAATCGAAAGCCGAGCCGAAGCCGAAAACACCACCACGTCGCTTAACACAGTGAAGCGGAAACTGTAGACCTCAAACAAGGCGTACTCCTAGAAGTCCTGATTCCTAGTCTTAAGTGATGTAGGTTTTGGGTGTTTAGATAGGGTTGACGGGGTAAGTTCTCCTTCCTTTGGGGCCAGTAGCGTCTTAAAGGGTTTTCTAGGTCCTATGCTTGGTACAGATAAGTATGTGGACACCGTCTTGCGTAAGCTGGTTTTCCGTAGTCTTGAGCGTCGCAGAGTGTTTGAAACCGCAGTATCGTTTAGAGCATCTTGATCGTAGGCAGCCGGTAAGTGCTGCTATTGTTTCCGAGAAGGGGAGCTCGCTGGACTTTTGGGATTCCTGTCCTGTCCTTAGGCGTCCCCCCGTAGATCTCCTTTAGATCTCCGTTGTTGGTGTTGTTACGCAGAAAAGGCCTTGAGCTTTGAGCACTCACTCCACGGCCTAACAACTACCTGGCCAAGTGTTTGAAAGAGTGGTGTGCCTTAGATATGAGTTTGCATGCTGCAAAGGGGGAGTCTTGATGATGAAGCATCATATCCCTTCTGCAGGCCTTTTAGCTATGATCAAGTGCAGTATCTGAAAAGGGCGATTTGACTTGTGCGAGTTCACAGGTGTCTTGGCAGCATTAACCCTAAACCCTAACCTCTAATCTAAGGGTTGGTTTCCTTACCTGGGGCCATGAGCTGGAGCCGGGGTCGAGGGCATGGAGCCGAGGTTGAATGGAAGGTCATGATCATGGGGGGGGGGGGGGGGGGGGGGGGGGGGGGGGGGGGGGGGGGGGGGGGGGGCATGCACTGGGGCCATTTAAAGTCATCTGATAGGGGAATGGGGAGCGGGGGAAATGCGAAACGTGCATCCATGAGGTGTGGGTGGTGGGAGCCATGTGGGATCATGGAGCCATGAGCCATGGGTGCCAGGGGGTCGAGGGCATGGGGGCCATGCGATGGACATGGGAAGGGTGCATGGGGGGGGGGGGGGGTGAGAGCGAGAGGGCGGAGCGGGCGGGCATGCACCGGGGCCCTTTAAAGTAATCTGATAGGAGCATGGGGCCACGGACATGGGAAGGGTTGCATGGGGGGGGGGGGGGGGGGGTGAGAGCGGGGAGGGCGGAGCGGGCGGGCATGCATCGGGGCCCTTTAAAATAATCTGATAGGAGCACCTAAAAGAATGCTAATGGTGGCAGCCATGTGGGATCCTGGGCCATGAGCTGGAGCCGGGGTCGAGGGCATGGAGCCGAGGTTGAATGGAAGGTCATGGGGCTATTAGCCATGGGTGGGAGGGAGCGGAGGGGGCGGGGAAAGGGCGGAGCGGGCGGGCATGCACTGGGGCCCTTTGAAGTCATCTGATAGGGTCCACGGGGCCATGAAAGGGTGCATGGGGGGGGGGGAGGAGAGCGGGGAGGGCGGAGCGGGCGGGCATGCACTGGGGCCCTTTAAAGTCATCTGATAGGGGTATGGGGCCACGGGGCCATGGGAAGGGTGCATGGTAGGGGGTGTGGGTGGTAGGAGCCATGTGGGATCATCTGGGAAGGGTGCTTGGGAGAGGGGAAGGGCTGTGGGTGTTGGAGCAAGACTATGGGTCTTCACTAGCGCCTCCCCCGCTCAAAGCTGGGGTCGGCGGATATATATATGTATACAACTCTTCATTTCGTTCTAATAGGCTCAGCGCCCCAGCGAGGTTAAGGATTTTTGCAAACACCGTGCGCATATGTTTAATGTCCCCGTTCTCGCAGTAACACCACTGTCTAAAGCGGCCCCGCTGGTATTGAGGAACATCGGCTATATTGACTGTGTAGCGCCGTACGGATGAGTAGAAGCACCAGCGAACACCGTCAAAGTCTCTCAAGAGTTCACCGAAAAGAGTGCTTCCCAATCACATGCTCGGGCAGCATCGGAAAGTTGGGCCGTCGAGAAAAAGAGAGGGGGGTGGCGGGGCTAAGTTTCGTGGTGCGGAGGCTGGGTGGGTGGGGAGGTGCTTCTTGAAAGAGCGCCATTCTGTCGATGTGTTTTCATTCTCAGAAACTCTCCAACGAAACGATAGAGACTCTCTGTCCATGCACATCAGAGAAGCTCTTCACGTTGCTGCTGCCAATTTTGATGGGGGAAGTGCTCTCTCAATCCGTTAAAGTACTTGTTTTTGTCAGTTCGGGGCTCAATTGCTTTGACCTTCCCAGCATGTCCGGAGCAATCAGTGTCGTCAATCGCACTAACGATCTCGTGCTTGGCGGCCCAGATTTGAGTAGAGTTCACGGAAATGTGGAATAGAACGGCGTTTGCATAGAGTCAGAAGAAAGCTTTGACGATGGCACCCGCTCAACCACATGCGCCTGCATGGGCGGGGGCAGCCACCAGCTTGTGCAACACCAGCGTGCTGCTGACTCAAATTCCAGTCGCCGTGGAAGAGTTAGTGGGGATTAGTAGGTTCACTAAACCTGCTGCTGACTGGTGTGCTGCTTTCTTACAGTACATTAGGGCAAGACTGACAATACTACGTTGTGCAAAGCCCTGAGCAGGTGGCCATCACGGAGGTGAACGACGATTTCTGCGATTGCCCTGATGGATCTGATGAGCCAGGCAAGACTGACAGAAGTTGTAGACAGCATTTTCCATGAGCTTGCAAACCAAAGAGCACTTGGGCGGGCGCCTTTCGGTGCACCTGAGGTACCGGGGCCTGTGCAGGAGCCTCCTCTCAAGACGGGGACTTACCATAGTAGCTACAATCAGCTACAACTGGGAAGCTGCTCTCGGATCTGCTCTCACCGGTTTGCCATGTTTTCAGAGAATTGCGAGGCCCTTTTCCATTGTGCAAACGCGGGCAGCGCACCACGGCTGGCCTGTGGCTTAGAAGATCCATGCACCACTGAACTGATCCCCCGTTTGTCAATATCTGGTATCGGATGTGTATCGATCTGTGTTCTTTACCGATCTTTTCCCATTTTTGCACATATTCACATATTCACATCGGTGCTTTGCATCGGCCCAGATCTACGTCTCAAGAGTCGGGGATGGGATCTGCGACTGCTGCGATGGCTCTGACGAGGACCAAAGAAGTTCGGGCACATGGCGCGGTGGCATGTCAGAACATCCGGGAATGATAGGGAAGAATCATAAAAGGGCAATGTAAATGTGAGCGGGGGCATTTTCCGGAGGGCGCAATACGTAGAAAGCGTAGAAAGTGCAAGGCTGAGGCTTTGGGTTCGAGGCGTTGCAGTGCGTTGTGACCTCCAGTCTTGGTTCAACATGTGTTCTTGGTGGCTCTGATGAACAGCGCGAGGCGTTTTGACAATCGTCTCAGTATGCCACTAGGCCTCAGGTATCGAGCCCGACATGTTTCTGCTCACCATGTTTGCCTGCTGCACGCATACTCAGCAAACTTCTGGAGTGCCGCAAACTACGGTAGTAAAACCTCATTCGGGCGCGACACGTGAAACTCTAGACTGCTGTAAGTGACTGCAATGGCGGGTCTCGAAGCTAGCCTGGCCGCAGCGTCGTTACGGCGGGTCGGGGAGTATCGCTGGGCGGCTTAGTTTACAAGCTCAGCTTGGCGATCTTGTCAGTGAGTGCAAGCCACACAGTACTTTTTACGGAGCACGGACTTTGACCTTCACTCTGGGCTGTAGACGCGGATTCGCACACCCGAACACCCTGCCATGGAATCATGGAACCCCACACGGACCGCACGCTAGCATGGCGTCCTACGCGGTTTTGTAGCACCCCCGCTTGAAATCCTCTCGAAAACATTCTGCCTTAATTCTTGAACGTGCGGAATCCGCTGGGTAACATCAACTGCAGGGTTTTTCGGGAAGCCCCAGCTGCAACCATTGGTACATATTGGTACTTGGTACAATGGGAAGAGACACCTGCGTGCCGTCTTGTTTGCCGTAAAGACGGCGAGGTATAGGCAGCATGCAAGCACCAGTTCCGTGGAAGAGATTTTCATTTGAGCAGCGTCTTTTTTTACGGCTCTTGAGAGATACTTATATGCGGAAATGACTCCGGGAACCGGGGCGCGAAAGTGCACGGGACTGTGGCCGCGGAAGGGTTGCGGAAGCACCTCTCCGCGGAAGCGACGATAGAAACAAATTGAGGTTACAGCCTTTCGTACGAAAGCGACAGACCCGTTCAGAATAAGGCTTCTATAGAGACCCCAAACTTCCCATAAAACGACTTTAAAAGCCCTAAACCCGTGCAAACAAACTCTCAACCCCAAAGCAAACAAGTCGGATTTTCAGGCTCGAGCGCCCCTTCCGCCGCGGAAGCTCCGCGGAAGCCCGCATGCCCATTTGAAGGCCCAGGCCCTTCCTACTGAGTCCGCGCTCTTGAAAATAGATGGAGGAGCTGCGCAGCTGCTGCCAGCTCAAGCTGCAGCATTCTCATGGAACGGGTGTCGCATCGTGTAGTCGCATAGTTCCATGGTAGTACACACTACATCCCAGAACTGCCCTATCCATCAGTATGTAGACTCTGGCCACCGACCATGCATGCCTCCAGAGGCGGGCGCGACAAAACAGCTCGTGAAGCCATGCACGCCCTTCCCTGTCCACAACTTTCCAAGCAGTCCACGCGTAGCAGTCGAACCCCTTCCAAGCTTCGAAACAGTGTTTCCTCGAGCTCGCATGCTTTGGACCACCCGACTTGTGTTCGAGTTTGTATCTTTTGGACCTACTCGCGGAAGCAAGTTTCTCAAAAATGCGCGGAATCAGTCCGCAAAAGCGTCCGCGGAAGCAAAGGAAGCAGACGAGCAGAAACAATACTCGCGGAAGGACCACGGAAGGGTTCCGCGGAAGGGTTCGTTTTTTTCATAGAAAATCCTCTAGGAATAAAAACCACGGCTCATTGTTGTCCCCGTGTCGGCATGCCAACAAAGCCCCGTTCTGTTGCGGCACGTGGGTCCGTACTGGTGTCAAGAGCAAGCGGCATTGCAAGCAAAAGAGCCTTTGCCTCTTGTCCTGGCCTCTGCACAGCAGTTGCTAAGGTATTTCATCGCGCCACTCGTTTCCATGAATTGAGATGTACCGCTTTTGGTTTTGGGGCGCACAAACCTTCCAAGCCGGAGTTCTCCTGTCGGAGACGTAATGGGGGTTTCCCGTTCCAGCGCATTTTCCGTTCTGGCCTATAGGAGGTTCAAGTCAAATGTTCTACTTCCTGTATTCCGGCGTAGTTGGCGCCGACTCCCCGTGCCTGAGATAAACATGGAAGAAGCTGCTTGAAAGTGTGTGCAGGAAGCTTTGCGACGGGAGCTTTGCGCGAGACCCAGTACGAGTATTGCGAGAGGCGGAAACGCTTCCGGTGTTTTTCGTCCTTGAGGCCCGAACACTTGCAAGGAAGAAGGCGTGGCGCCGCAGCTGAGCTGTATGCGTCGTCGGAACACATGTTGGCACCTTTGGAGGCGAGCGTCTGCGATCAGAGAGGGAACGAAAGCTGCAGGACTTGCGCCCCATGCCCAGCACCGGAGTTGTCGTACAGTGTAGCAGCACATGCATGGGCCAAGCTGAGTCAGAGCTGTGAGGCGCTGGTTTGGAGGTGAAGCACGCGACCATTACGGAGGAGATTGTGAGATGGGGAGCAACTTATAAGCCAGTAATTTACGAATGGTTGGGACTTGGTGTTCTTTGGGTTGCGAGTATCGCAAAATATTGCAGGCCCAGCAAGACGGCATCCGGAAGCGTGAAGAGCTGGAGAGGCCGGGGGGGGGGCTGGAAGTGAGAGCGGGCTGAGGGAGGGGAGAGTGCAGAGTAGAAGAATAACCGCGGCAACATCTCACATTGCAACATTTCGACTCATTGGAGTGCACGCATTCTGTGGTGTGCACATGTTCCTTCGCGAGAGTGCACAGGAACATGTAACCGGTACAGTGGTCGCGGTACACTTTTGACACTGCGAGGCTCGTGGCCAAGCTTCCAGACTTGGAAGCACAGCTGGCTGAAGTGCGGAAGCGTAAGGACCCGCAGAGCACTTTTCCATAGAACATGAAGCCACGCCGCCGCGCCTCTTGAGGCCGTGTCATGTTTTGCCAAGGACATTTTAGTAGTAGCATGTCGTATAAAACTATGCACTTGGGAGAGAGAAAGGCTTTCTCAATTTGCGGAGGAAGAGGCCGACGCTGCGACCTTGCAGCAGGAATGCCAGACCGAGCTGCCAAAGCAGCTCAGCTGAGGATCACAAGACAAGTCACGTATAGTCACGTGAATCACAAGTGAATCACATGCGGCTGAGAGAGAGGGAAAGTCGCTGCGCAAAGAGAAGTGGAAGCAGAAAAGAGTGAATCTCCAACGAAAATCCAGTCCCCGACAAGCAGCCAAAAGCAACTCGTTACGACGAGGGCGAAGGCAGCGAAGGCAGCGAAGGCGGCGAAGGCGGCGAAGGCACGGAGAGCGGGCGAAGGATGCAACGTCCCGGCCGGTGGGCCGTCCACAAAAACTCACTCCGATAACTCTGAGAAGTTCGCTCGCGCTCAATGCTGTTGCATTGCGAGCTTCGAAGCCTCACTGGCGATACCTGTCAAATTGACGCCACCCCGTTCCTCACGCGAAAGAAATAAAGAGCGAGAGCGAGAGCGAGAGTCACGAGCAATGATCTCTCGGATGTTTTCACCTTTCCCCTCCGCCGCAATACGGCGCTTGCGGCCAAGGGGCCATGTGGTCAATGTGGTCTCTCCTGAGGCTGCGGGAGAAAGTCAAGTCCTTGGAAGCCTGGAACTGAGAGATGCTGCAAATTGCATGATATGATATGCGTATATATGCGTCTCAATGCGTCTCAGTCGCCGATCTTCTAGTGAGCACCCCTTGCCTGGAGCCTCACAAGTCCCGTTTTCAATTGTCGTCTCCGGCGCTTCATTTCGCTGTCGAGGTTCGTCCCTTGGGTGCCGTCGGGAGAGAGAGTGCGGGGACTGCGCGCTTGTTCTAGATTCCTTTCGACCTCAGATGTGCTTCTCAAAGCCACAATGCTCAGAGTCCGCCCTCCGTCTGGGTGTCCCTGATTCTCAGACAAGAGAAAAAGAGAGAGAGAGAGAGAGAGAGAGAGAGAGCCTGAAATTCTGGCCAAAAGAGGCGCCTTGTTTCGCTTCTCACACGTCTCCGGATGAAATCCATCTGCTGCAACTGTGATGCTAAAGCTTCGGGCAGCATATCCCCAAGTCTCGAGTCGCCCTCGAGTCCTCAAGTCGCCCTCGAGGCTTTGACGATTTTTTTCAGAGATTCCACTTGATCCCCTCTTCGGAGCCCCTTCGGAGCCCCTTCGGAGCCCCTTCGGAGCCCCTTCGGAGGTATCGGAGCATTCGGAGTCATCGAATACTCATACCGAATGTCTAGAGGGGCTGACTCGTCGCTGTCATGGTGTGGCCACGATACAAGTCCAAAGTCCCGTCCATGCGTCAATGAAGCATGAGTCATTGAGTACAATGCTCAACCTTCGATGTGAGGCGAAGATCGCGGCACTGGAGGCCGGCACCGCATGCACCTTGGGCCTATAGGCAGAGAGCGCGGAGATATGTGGAACACGTTGATGCTCCTCCGTCCCGCCCCCTCTTTCCCGCAAATTTCCTGTCAAAAGTGCGCCAAATGCGCCGTGAGGCAGAGCTGGCAAAGGGTGCGGAAGGCACCGCCTTCTCTCCTCCCCTTCCCTTTGAAGGGGGGGGGGGGTGCAGAAATCCTAATGGTCCTAATGTAGCCTTTCTGGTTCGGTCCTCTCCTTCTGCTCGCTCTACTCTCAGGTGCGACAACGAGCACCACGACGAAAGTGGTGTCCGAATACGCCAAGCAGCCCTGGCCCGCTTTCTCCGCATGTTCCCGCGTTCTCCGCATGTTCCATATGATACCAGACACTGAGACCGCCAATGACAATTCGCATGAGAAAAGATCGCATCATCATCCGCATGTTCCGCGTGCGCAGCTTTAAAAACACAGCGCAGAGTTTCAGAGGCACGTCGCAGGCCTGCATGCGGTTTTGTCCTGCAGATTGTCTCCTCTGCAAGTTCTGTCCCTAACATTTTATTTTAACGTCTCAAAAATTCACAGTATCTGTATATCTTAGCAGGGCTTCGAGAATGCACGCGCTTCTAGCGACTTGTCCCCCGGGAGAATTCCGCGCAACAGCTTCCTCATGCGTTCACAAATTTTAAGTCTCCCCTTCGTGTCACCCTTCTTTTTGTCTTGCCTCCGATCAACACCCTTTGGAACCAGAGCCGGATCGGTGGACACAGACTCTTGCCTCAGACTCTGCCACAGTACGCAACAGCTCTCTTGTTTGCCATCTTGTCTCTCTTCTTATCTCCAATTGTCTTGTGGAAGCAGCTCCCTTCTTATCTCCCGCTCGCTTGCCTTCTTCCTGACCTTCGTGTGTCCACCAGCCATGCGAAACCCACTCTGAACCCTGGAATGCCTTAAGCAAAGCCGCTCGAGGATACGCCGAAACCACAGTAGATTCCCTTTGTTGCCATAGAACCTCTAGCACGTTGCACATGTCCGTGCTTGAAGCAAACCCCTCAACCGCCTCTCGACTCCCAAGGTGGAGATTCAAAGCATGTTTTTTTTTAAGCTCCTTGCGTTTGAGTACTTTGTATGTGAGCCCCCCCCCCTCGAACACCCGGAGCCTGTCGACTTTCTAACCCTGTCCTGCAGCCTGTTAAAGGAAAATTCCCGGGGGCGGGGGGGGGGGGGGGCGGCACACGCTCGTTCCTGTTGTCTCTCGCGCGCATGAGAATGCTTCAATCTCTAGCCCCCCCCCCCCCTCCCTCCCCCTCCTTCTCTGATTTTTTTGCATATCTCCCCGCGATTATGGGGAGTGGGGTCGAGAGGGGCTGACGCTGTAAAGCTCACTGCCAAAGGTGGATGGAGGGAGCCGATGCTTTGGAGGAGACTTTTCTGCCAAAAAGAGAGAGAGAGAGAGAGCTGCTGTACAAAAAAAAAAAGATCTGAGTGCTTTGAGGGAGAGGAGCCCGAAGACCCGGCGGACGCGGCGGATGCGGAAGCTGCGGAGGCGAAAAGGATGTTCTGCAGTTTCGCTTGCAGATGCATTCTGCTTGAAGTCCTTGCAGTTGGTTCTGGGTGGCAACACGCCTTGCTGTGTCCTGCGCCATCGACGCAGGCTGTGAATGGCGAAGCCCACACGGAAGCTGGCAAAGCTCCTCCAAGCCCCTCCAGTGCCTCCGTGAAAATTTATGCGGAATTCAGGCTGAGTTCAAGAGTTGAGGATTCAATCTTAAATTAGAAACTACTTCTGTGCAATGTGTTGCGCCTGGCAAGCCTTGGTTCAGGTGAAAGCCCGCTGGACAAGGAGTGAATTCTGCAGTGTACTGGGCAGACTTGCAGCACATCTGACTCCACCCACGCACTTCAATTCTGACGCCCAAGGCTCTGATCTGAGGCTAGTGTTAGCCATGCCGAGCAGCCTAGCTGCCTAGCATAGCCTACTGTAGCCGCTACTGTCATTGTTTTCAGACGGGGTCTGGAGGGTTGTTGTCGCAATACTTGGAGGAGTTGAAGGATCTTGAGGTGCAGGTCAAGTCCGACCAGGTGGGGGGCGGAGTCGGATTGAGAACGGCCTTTTCAGAGAAGAAGACACATCAATTCTTGACTCTGCTCTTTGGCTTGTAACGGCTTGTACTTCCTCTCACTTTGTGAGTCAGGCCACGCGGGACCGCTTGCAGCGCGAGCTGCAGGAGCTGCCCGAGGCGCGAAAACTATAAAGTGTGGCAAAGTATAGAAATTTAGAGAATTCGAGGCAAACAAAAAGCCTTCTTCATCACTTTTGGAGTTCTGACAGGTTTTTTGCTCCCCTTCTTCTTGCCCTGCACACTGTGCGATGCTCTTGTCAGCTTCTCTTCTTCATCCAGGGCTTCAAATTGGCGCATTCCTTCGTATCGAGGTCATATTGTTGCTGGTTCCTCCTGTATCATCTTGCACTGTCCTTGACTGAGCGTCGCTGAGCGTGCCCCGCCCGGCGCTGGAGGGGGCTTCCCTAAAGGTTTCCCAGGCTCCTAACGCCCCGCATGAACCCCTCCCTAAAGGACCGCCATGTGTTCAATGCGCAGGACAAGCTCGGTTTCGCCAGCCTCCGAGACACCTGCCTGGAGCACGCGACGGCGGAGTGCGGCGCACGAGATGACGAATGATCCGAATGGTTTAGAGTTTAATTCTAAGCTTTGCACAGGTGTGCCTTATCTTCCGCGAGTCTTGCCAGACAGGTACACGTACAAGCTCTGCTTCTTCAAAGACGCGAAGCAGTCCTTCACCCGCCTCGGCACATGGAGTGGCCCCTCCGCTCTCGAAAGTTCATAAGTTCTGTGAGTTTTTGTCTGCTTCACTCTCTCTTCTATTCAATCTCCTCCTTCTCTCGAGATGCTCTTGCATGCGGCTCCTGTTGAGGCTTCGTTGGAGCCGCGGAGGCGCTCTTCAAGGATGGGGACATGTGCCCCCTTGATGATAAGATGGCTCTCTTCACTAACAGGCTGTTGCTGCTGTTGCTCCGTTGTTGCTCTGTTGTTGCTCTGTTGGCTCTCTGCTTTCTCTTCGTTTCTCTTCGTTTCTTCATGACTCCTCTGGAGAGCTCCCAAGAGCTCTGAGGCTACGGCGGCCCGGCACGCAGCCTGAAGGTGGCCTCTCGCTTGCCGTATGAGACGTGTGAGAGGCATCCTGCAATTTCTTCTGCCCCTCTTGTAAACTCCAACAATAATCCAAGTGCCTTCGCCCGAGGTATTTGAGTGTGGTGCTCAAGCGGTGTTGCTGGCCGAATTGATGCGCTGACCATCGTTAGGGGCGGCTTCAGCAAGCGCATCTGTGCTGCTGCGTCGATGCTGCTTTTGTGCTGCTTTTGTGCTGATGTGGTGGCGGGGTTGGGGGCGGCGGTGAGTGGGCGGCACCATCACCAAAACCCCCCGAAACCCCGGTTCCCAGCAAAGAAACCGGGCCCTGATAAGCGTATCGCAAAAATAGTAATCCGGTGCCAGTTCCTTCTCACTTCTCCGAAGCCTCCTTTATCCCAGAAGGCCTTGGCCCTTGGTGTCTCCAGGAAGTCGTGGACGTCAGCGAGCCCTCACGGTGTACCTACCAGGACCGCCCAGCACAACAAGTGGCAGTAGGGCAAGGGCCCCCTGCCCCCTCCCTCCCCCCTCCCCCCTCCCCCCTCCCCCCCTCCCCCCCTCCCCCCTCCCCCCTCCCCCCTCCCCCCTCCCCCCCCCCCCTCCCCCCTCCCCCCTCCCCCTCCCCCCTCCCCCCTCCCCCCTCCCCCCTCCCCCCTCCCCCCTCCCCCTCCCCCCTCCCCCCTCCCCCCTCCCCCTCCCCCCTCCCCCTCCCCCTCCCCCCTCCCCCCTCCCCTCCCCCCCTCTCCCTCTCTCTCTCCCCCTCCCCCTCGTGTCTCCGTCTATGCACTTTCCGACGATCACACCCTGTTACATCACAACGATGATAAAATTGTACTGGCCCCAAGCAAGAAGTGCCACCAGCCTCGATAATGATGGAAAGACATGGAAAGACTGCGAAGAGGAGGGAAGGGAGAGGGGAAGACTTCAACAGGGCAGGATGGGAGTTCCGAAAAAGCTTCCATGACGCTCTCAAGAGGGAGAGAGGGAGAGCGGAGCGAAAGAGAACTTGAGGTCAGAGACACATCGTCAGAGAGACACGTTCGCGATGGCAGGGGAGGAGATTCTAGAAGATTCTGTGGGTCAGACCCCATGCAACTCAGCCATGCCCAGACAAGTGACCATCATCTTACCAAGTCCGCAGATCTGCTTATGGTCGAGATGTTGGGCAAAAGGGGAGGGGGGGCGGGGGGTGGGTGAAGGTTTCGAAGAGCTCTTCTCTTCCGTGACTCTTGTGCTTCGCTTGCGCCCTTTCCTTGGCTCTCTCCTCTCGTGTTCTCTCTTCTCTCTCCCTCTCCCTCTCGTGTTTTTTTTTAAATGCACAATTTTTTTTACTCCTCCTTCTTCCTTTCCTTTCTTTCTTTGCTCTCTTTCTCCTGGGAGGCCCTGGTCCGGCACGCGGGCGCCTGCGAGGAGCAGATGGCGCAGGAGCCGAGCCTCAAGCACCCCAAGGACAGCCCCCGCGAAGCGGAGCGCAGAGCAAAGCGCATTGAAGAGAGAGAGATAAGAGAGAGATGAGAGAGAAGAAGAGAGAGAAGAAGAGAGAAGAAGAGAGAAGGAGAGATAGACAGAAAGAAAGAAGAGAGAGCAGCGGAGAGACCTTAAGATGATGCTCTCCCCCCCCCCCCCCCCGCATTCTCTGTTGTGCAAAACAAATAACTTAAAGACGCCTCTGCCACAGGACGAGCTCTGAGAGAGCCAGCAGTCACGTGGACAACGGCGGCAGATCGGGGGATGGGGGGATGCCGTGGAAAAAAAAAGGCTGGGGCCTGTGGTCCTTCTATAACATTGTTCCTTCCTTGCTGGCGCGCAGTGCCTCTTGTGTTTGCTTTTGCCCCTGCCCGGGTCTGTCAAGCTCTTCCTTCAACATGGCCTCCTCTTGGGTCCGTCAAGCTCCTTTTGTTACGGCCCGTGGGCATGCATGGCGCGGGAGTTCTCGCGGAACGCCGGAGACTCGTGCGGGTGGCATGCTGCATCATTAAAATTGGGTGTCGGACGCAGGACGTGCGAGCTGCTGGAAGGGTAGCGTTGTGCGATGTTTCCTATCTAGTTTTGGCAGCCCTCAGAAGTAGGCGTGGCTTGGTGCCTCCCTCACAAGTAGGAGGCCCTTTAAGCCTTTACAACAAGTACCCAGCACTGGGACTTCTAGTCCTGGCATTCTCTCTCACCATTGCCCGTGTCAGGGGGATGGAGGGCTCAATGAAGGATCCCAATGTGGCAGCGAAGAGTCACGAAGGCCTAGCTGGGCTTGAGTTAGTCTCCGCCTATCCCGGAGTGACGGTTTTTGCCCATCATGTTGAGGAAAATGGGGGGGAAGGGGGGCGGGGCGGGTCGCATCGGGTCGCCATTCATCGAATCTTTCGGGAGTTGCCTGTAAATTTGCCAATTTAAGGCCTGTAAAAAGATCTGAAGAGGTGGCGGCGGTGGCGATAGATGCGCGATTGTTGTGTCATAGATCGCGGTGTGCATGAGCAATTAAGCATGGTCTTCGGGGGCCTGGTTTAGAGTTGAGCGCACGGATGGGGTGGGGGGGGGGGAGGGGCGTGGTGGAGTGTGGAGTGTTGTGCTTGGCAGCGGTGTTGGTGGTAGTGGTGCACGGTGTAGTTGCAGTGTGGTGGAGTGTCTACTCCATATTGGCGTCAATCCAGGCTAGCTGCTAGCTTTCGTTGTCCTCGACTGTTCGCCTCAAGTTGGCGCTCTGGGGTTCTTATGTAAACAAATCGACAAAGTAGAGGTTTAGGTTGACCCACAGATCCCTGGGCTCTTGCCTAGGTGTTGCGCAACGTCTTGCGCGAGTACGAGTGGAGTGTTGTGATTTTGTTCATCACGATCCTGTCCGAACAGCAAGATGTGACATGACAGTAGCAGATTCGCTGCTGTTCTCAAGTTCATGTCATGCAGAGCGCTTGCAGAGCTTGTGGATTCCGCAATGCAGAAGCTTCAATCGCCATTGGGGAGAGCCGCCGGCAAGCCACAGCGGGCGGCGGGGGGGGGGGGCGGCTTGCGTCCCCACAGAACTCAGTAGCTCCCCGATAGCTGTACCGACTCTGCAAAAAAAAGCAACAGCCTGAGATGGCTCATCCCTCCATAGCTTAGCCATGCACAGCACAGAGCCGCAGTGTCCCGTCAGACGAAGCGCAACAAGAGTGTAGAGGCTGAGTGGCGCCGCTGGCGTAGACCGATAGCTAGTCTGGCACCCATGTCGTTCTCACGAATCCTGGCCTCGGCACTGGCCATAGATTCGTGGGACTCTGCGCTGAGACACTCTTGAAAGTACTTGAAAAGTACTTCCTTTACTGAGGTCTGCTTTTTTGGGCTGGTGTGCGGCGACGTGTACCTCCACAACCCCCGGGGCTCCAACAACAAGCGCCTCGGGAGAGCCCAGAGCGCGCAGGAACAGGAGCAGTTTGCACTCCTTTGCCTTTCCTTTAAAAAGCACCCCTCTCTCTCTCTCTCGCTAATCATGCAGACAATCTCAATTCTCTTGCTGATATCCATCTTCAATGCTTCCCTTGCTCCATTGTGTGCTGTTGTTCTTATACTGGTTCCAGAGAGAGAGAGAGAGGTCTCTTCAATGCTACTATAGACTTGGTTTCTTGGACTCGTAAAATTCTGAGGTTGAGTGAGCAGCAGAACAATGCGCAGAACCAGCACCGGCCCTAAGAGACACAGATTTTCACGCAGTATTTAAAAGCCTTGAAAGTGAAGTGTGTGAGTGCTGTGGGTCCACGTTGCTCCCTCAAGGAACCGGCTCTTTGACTCACAGAACAATGCCCAAGGCAGGTCTTCGGACTGGGGACACTGGCAGCGCATCAGTGTGCATCCACATCCGCCCCTGAAGCTCCTCAAGCAATCTGTCAGGTGGGTATCAGGTGGGCGATAACTGTCAGAACGCCTGTCAGGACGAATATTTTTGGTAGACGCGACACCATAATTGGAGTATATGGTTACGAGTCCGGTATTCCTCCTTGAAGTTCCATTCGGCAGCCCTGTGTAAGGACGAGAACCGCAACTATGATGCCACAAAAAGCGGAGCCATGAAGGCACAGCATGGCACAGCAATTGCACCGCAATTGCAGCAATTCCCCAAGAACGCGGGCACACACACACACAGAGACACACAGAGCCTCACAGAGCTCCATGGGATCTTATTTGACGTTCAGAGGTCTGAGGGTCAAACGTGCTCATGGCAGGCCAACAATGCAAAAAGGTATGTTTCAGCTTTCTCTTCGTTGAACACTTGGAGCGCCCACTCTCTGTCTCTCTCTGTCTCTCGCTGTCTCTCGCTCTGGCACTCCCTCCAGGAATAAACAGATTTAACGTCCCAACGCGACCTCTGGACGCGACCCGACCCGACATGCCCGTATTTTCCAGAATGTAAATATACTAATGTTCCCAGTTAGTTCTTCGGGACAGCCTTTTTCTTCGAAGCTCCCCAGCATCTTTAAAGGCCTTTCGCAGAGCCGGCGAATTCAAAAGTCCTTCTTCTTCAAGGTTCCCTATCGGGCATCTTGATTGGGCATCTTTGGGCCTTTCGCAGAGCAGAGGACTTCAACCGCTTCAACCGCCTTTCCTCTTCGAAGTTGCCTAATTGTTGGGCACGGGCCAGGGGCCTTTCGCAGAGGCGTTGTTCTTCGAAGCTCCATATCGCAGAGCAAACGAATTCGCCTTCCTTCAACGAATTCAAACGCCTTCTTCGAAGTTCCATATTGGGCAATTGGGCATTTTGGGGGCCTCTTGCAAAGCAGACGAAATCGAACGCCTTTCTTCGAAGTTCCGGATGTTTGAGGCCTTTTCGCAGAGCAGGCGAATTATATATATATATATATATATATATTATTTTTTTTTTTGAGCGCTTTTTTTCTTCGAAGTTCCCTATTGGGCATTTTTGGGTCCTTTCGCAGAGCAGACGAATTCAAGCGCCTTTCTTTTTCGACGTTCTTCATTGGGCATTTGTGGCACCCGTCAATTGTATCCTGTCAAAAACAAGAGGTGGGAAGTGAAACATTACCTCTTTGAAGTGCCCTATCGTGCATCTTTGGGGCTTTTCGCAGAGACGAAAGCCTCAACCGCCTTTCCTCTTCGCGCGCACGCACACACGTGCGCACGCCCACACGCCCACGCGCCCACGCGCCCACACGCCCACACGCCCACATGTACAGTCACACACGCCCAAACGCGGGCACACACATACACACGCGCGCGCGCACACGCACACACCTTCCGCATGCACATGCCACCCACGCACACCCGCTTACCCACACGCTCATGCGTGCACCCGTTCGCACAACCCACAAGTGCACAGACATGCGTACGTGCGCAAGGCCTAGCCGCCTGGCCACATGCCACTGGCGTTTCAACCGCATGCTTGCCGTGCCAGGGGCACATGACCTACTATCAGGGCTCTGAGCTCTACATCGAGTGGGCCCAGAGACCCAGAGCTCCAGAAAGCAGAGTGCCAGTTTAAATTTTCCACTTGTTGGAGCGACAGGTGAGCTAGTCAGATAAGGTGAATGTGAGACAGAACGCAGGTGGTCCAACACGGCTGCGGCTTGGGGCAGCCGAATGTCATCTGCCAGATGGCACTGGACTTGGCACGAGTCGGCCTTTCGCTGTCCATGCTTTTCTTTCTTGGCATGGTCATACGAATGTGTAATGTGTACAGATGTGTGCGCTGTCAGGTGCTTCAGTACATGTGTGAGAAGGACAATCCAGGCATCCGTGATGGAACCAAGCGGGGCAACGACAACACTGCTGGCGGAGAGCAGGAACCGAAGATCTTGAAGGGAGTCCAGAAGGATGCAGTGATTTTGCTCAATTGACGCCGAGGAGCCTCCTGTTGCGGTGGAGGTGGGACGGTGGGAGTCAGGGACCGTGAACATGTTTCGCGAGCGGCAGACCCGTCGGACAGGCCGCAGAGGAATCGCTTGGACAGCATGAGCCCTTGGATTTCTACCTCTCCTGCAAACAGCCCCTGGCCACAAAGGTTTTAACGCAGTATTGGTTCGCATTGGGGATTTGCATTCTTTTGTCCTTTCGAGCTGACCTCTTCTTGTGATTATAATTTCAGGCGCGAACGGCAGAAGGGGCTGTACACAGCGGACCAAAACGTCCGCGACGATCGTGGGGCCACCGCCACGAGGCAGAACCCGAACGGCAATGCTCGGAGTCCCAGAGGCCCGAAAGCATTGAGACGGTCAAGGCGGTGAAGAGCCAGGACAGAAAGCTAAAGAGGCCCTATAGCATTGCCTAACAGCTCTTTTTGTTTAGGACTTTGTCTTGTTCTTGTTTCACACGCCGCATGAGGAATCTGAGAGGAATCTGAGTGAGAAGAATTATGATTCTGATTCTGAGGGCAACAACGACCGGCACGGCCTCGAGTGTCCGGAGGCCCGAGAGCACTCTCAGCAACCAAAAAAAACTCGAGCAAGTACTTCAGCTATTCTCCTTCTCTCCTTCCACCTCTCCGAGTCACTCCGCGTATCTTCTCACTGCCCTAAGCCTGTGAGCCAAGAGAGCTTGCAAGCACAGCGAAAAATTGAAGGAGTGTGTGTGTGTGTGTGATCCGTGCAGCTCTTTCGCCACACTCAGTGTCCACAATATTGAAGAGAGGAAGGTGTTTGTGTGTGTGTGAGAGAAAGAGTGTGTGTGTGTGCGTGTGTGTGTGTGTGTGCGCCCTGTTTACTCGGGAAGTACCTACCATTGCAGAGGGCCTGAGGCTCACACACAGGTCTCAGGCCCACGACGGCACCTGTAACTTCAATGCAAGTACGTTGATCAGTTGCTGTCATTGCTGTGTATCGATTCATCCTCGCTGCTGTCCTGTCTCAGTATCGACAACGTTGGTATCGTTGGCAGAGTTTATGCCTTTCACAGTTTTATCATGTTGCTTCTCCCTCTCTGTGCAAAACCGCGACTAGTGACTAGAATGACTAGAAGGAGCCACTGGGCCATGATGTGGGTGCGGGCACATCACGGAGGGGGGAGGTTGCCCCGCATGGGTGCTAGTCCCAACCCGTGGGGGCAATGCTCTCTCCCTCCCACCAGCACTCCTACAAACGATTGTAAGTGTGTAAGTGTGAACAATGGGATAATGGGGCAGAGGGGTCGCGTGTGAGGAGCGTGATTACTACCCATACTGGCATCCTTCGCCGTGGCACGACATCGCCGTGCCCTCAGCCAGAAAGAAAGAAAAGAGATGTAGAGCTCCAGAAGAAGAAAAACATGCAGAGCTCCGAGCTCCAGGGTTGAGCAGAAGGTCTTGGTGTAAAGGCAGAGCCTTTCAATTTTAATTCCACCTGACCCGAAGACAAGACTTCCTTTTCACAAGCCATGTGAAAAACTTGTCTCGATCATTCCGGCGGCAAAGGGGTGGTTCAGGAACCACCCTGTTTCGGCGAGATAGCCAATTCTATAGAGTTGTTGCGCAACTGGAAGAGCGGCTCTGCCTCAGGCCGTCATCACCGACGAGCCGCCTGGAGCCCATGCGGGGGGGAGAGTCGGGGAGAGTCGGGGAGAGGGGGAATGCGGCGGTGTTGTTCTTCGTCGCGGCGCCCCCTCTTATTTGCACGTGTTCATCCCCACGCCGCCCTCAGCAGTAGGTGCTCCGCGCTTAGTGTGTATTCTGCACGTATACAGCATTCCTTTGTGCCGCCCTGTCCCCGCGCCGCCCTCAGACGAAGGGATGCGCAGTATCGGGGGATCTCCCTGAAGCGGTATGGGAGAAGAGACGTTTTTCCGTTCGGTCGTTTGATGGTTTGCACCTTTGCAATCCAAGATTTTCCGAGATCGAGGCATATCGAGGCTTTGGGGTCCAGAAGGTCCCAACTAATTATGCCGGAACCGAGTTGAGCACAAGGGCTCTGTTGTTCTTCAACTTCAAGCAGTATTCGGAGTCTTGTTCCCATATGTTCAGGTCCAGAAGGTGCGAATACTACCGGAGCGAGTCCCAGAACGTGAAAGCAAAAGGCCAAGGACTCAACTCTCAGAGCGTTGCTTCGCAGAGCTACAAAGAGCTACAACGTCTCCCCGCCCGGCCTTTACAGCGCGTTCAAGACTTCAAGACTTGATCCCCAAGAAACCATAAAGGAACCTGCAAGAGGAACAGACAATGACCGAGAGGAGAGATGGAGGCACAAGAGGGCACCATGAGGGGACTCCCTTCGGTCGTGACCAGGGCTTTCGACTTCATGGTTCGAACGAAAGGCTCTGAAAAGGGTGCCCCCAAAATCCCCAAACCCCCGAAACCCACCCACTGCAAGTCCCTCATTCCTGAGCTTGCTGCCCTTCAGCAGGCGTGCCAGGACGAGACTCCCGGGATGTTGGGCCTTTGATTGGGGGGGCGTCTGTCTTGTGACCTTTTGTGATGCGAGGCTACTGCAGCGAACCCCAGCACAACCATCAGGAAGCGTGCCCGTCACCTAGACAAGAGCACATTCCAAGAGCGACAAGCCGTGCCGGCTGCGCTATGCTGTGCTTCGTAAGCTTTCCTCCGGACCAGGCTTGGACGCGGGAGCGGAATGGCAGGACTTGGATGATTCGCACAATGCACACAGCGTGACACAGTGTGACACAGTCATTCAACAGAAACAACATCTCACAGGAGGCTCCAGCCCATGAGGAGCCCCCACCGGAGTGCGTCGGGGCGCAAGATATGCCAGACAGCCATCAGTGGCCAGAGGTATATGACTATGCGCGTGGGAACTTACACTCTATTTTACGTGTGCGAGCTGCGAGCTCCAGAGCAATTACAACTCTTGACTTTGAGTCGAAGGAGGTCATTGCTTAGCATGCCTTCAAATGCAGCTTTGAGGCCCAGCATGGGCTCCTGCGCTTGAAGCGAATTTCTTCAGCTGCACAATATACCAACCAAAATGTGCATTGAATTGCGCATTGAAGGCCAGCAATTTTCATCAATTCGAAAGTGCGCTCAAAATGCCAGATTAACACAACAGAAGATAGGTGAATCCGGGGTTGATGTCCGTTTGGCTTTTGCGTTGTTTGAACTTGAAGTCGTTCCGAAATCTTCTCCAACTGCGAAATGGAGCAGTAGTAGTGTTATTATCTGGGAAAGTTGCTTGTAGAGGGCAGGACTTTCTACCCAACCTGCAAAACCCATGTAAAAATGACCTGCCAACACTAAGGTGTTGATTTCACATCTGCTTCACCGTAACTTGTGCGCTTTAAGTGCCGGCGGCTTTAACCGTCTAGCTTAACTTGTAGCTATGTATTGTGTGTGTCCATGTTTTTGACACCTATATTTATATAGAATCGTTCTCAAATTTTCCCAGCTTGGAATTGACTGTGGGATTTGCTTGAAAAGGCCAGCATCGATCATTTTTGTGGTGAGAGCCACGCTTCAACCACAAGCAAAGTTGCAACAATTTTGGGTGGTTTGTTGTGGAAGGCGTGTATCGCTAAAAATAAGGCGGTTTGATCAGTCGATATCTTCTCCAGCTGGGCGAAGAGACGATGGAAGAACACCTCTCTTAATCTCCGCGCTGCCCGTTTCTTCAAATAAAGATAGATGCAGGCAGACCCCGTTCATCGTGTCTCTTCAAACAAACATTGGACAAAATCTGCCTGAATCTTACGTGCCATCTTTTTTCTCCAGTCAGACGTGCGCGCACATCCAGGGAGATGTTAAACGTTGGCTTTGGAAGTATATAGGCACTACACGCACTACATAAGCACTAGAGTCTGCCTGGATCTTGTCGCTGCCTGCGCCCAGTATCCGACATAGATTACAACAAGTATGGACAACAAAATTCATGCCGCTGCTTTCTTCGATGAGCAGCAAGAGAAGTGTAAAGAAGAGCATGAGGGACGGTGCTTGCGATTTTGTTTTGCCGGATGAAAAGGCAGGCCCTCAGGCCCACCGGAGGAAGAAGGAGGAAGTGAGCAAGATCAATTGATAAACTAGTCCTGCTGCCGTCAAATAGAGCGATAGAGGTTCAACCAAAGACTCTCTCTACATATGTATACATTTATGTGTAGATGTATTTTTACATGTTGCTTTTTTCTTCATATATATATGTGATTTTTATACTCTATTGCAAAAATTTTTTTGTGGCCGCCGCTGTGGCGTCTGAGGTCGCTGGCATGTCCTCCCGTGACAACCACAACGGAAACGCTCGCGGCGGGCGTCCGAACTACTATCTGTGGAGGCGAGCTCGGAAAGAGATTTTTCCCTGGAGCCATGCGGGCCGAGCGCTTTTGAGAGGATACCCGACTACGTGGAGGGCCGCCATCCTGGCACGAGTTCGATAAATAAAGATTACTCTTCTTTGCCTTGAGTCCTTGATTTGTGGTGTTTCGAAGGAGGGAGAGCCACCCGGGCCCGACTATGCCCGAATCAGTGTTCGGACTTACGCAAAACCGCTCCCCCCCCCCCCCCCCCCCCCCCCCCCCCCCCCCCCCCCCCCCCCCCCCCCCCCCCGCCCACTCCCACTCAGAGATGCCTCTTGAAAAAAGAGGAGGCCTTTGACGTGTGCACACAAGATGAGTTCACTTGAATTCGCTTGTCTGAGAGAGGCTGCGTGCTGCGGTTGCGGTACAATATCACCACCGGGGACTTCCGGTCCTCGGCGCTGGCCTCCGGCGAAGGCCCTTCCACCAACGTGCCCCGGTCTCAGCTTTCTGGGGGAGTCTAACAAAAAAGTGAGAGTCTCCCTTGCGCCTTTCTTTTGTCTCTCTGCAACACTGACTGAGCTTCAGCTCCATAAGCTTGAGCTGAGTTGCTTCCAGCTTTTTTCTGCTCTTTGCTGCCCTATCGCCCCCCTCCCAAAGCCATCCCAGTCCCTCCTCCTCCTCAAGTTGGCAACTCTTGAGCTTCGGATCGAGGCTGGACGTGGGTGAGGACTACTTTGCCCTGGACAAGGCACCTTGTAAAGACGGCACACGGCCACGCATAGTGCCCGCAAAACTTGCCCCCGCAGTTGCTCTGCCGAGAGGCCCTGAATGACCCGAACCCTGGGCAACGGCGCCGAACGCCCTTCAAGGCGCTCTCTTCCTCTGCATCTTCCTTATCCAGAGGGTTGCAAAAAGAAGCGGGCTCGCATGTGTTTTCCTTCGAAGGTGTGCTAGCAAAAAGCTCGCCCCCCTTCTCTCCTTCCATCTTCTTTCCGAGCTTCTTTTCCGAGCTTCTTTCTCTTCCTTGAGCTTCTTCATCCCTTGAGCTCCTTCTTCTTTCCTTCTCCCCTTTGTTCACTGAAGGGCGGACCACCCGTCCTTCCACAAGATCCCGTGGGCGACTGGCTGGACCTCGGCGAGGCTTTCCAGCTGCAGCTGCAGGCGCCGGAAAAGGGAAGAGGGGTTATAAGGGTTGACAAGGGAAGCCCAAGGGGTACCAAAGAAATGGAATCATATGTGCAAAGCTCTTCTTCTGGCCTTCTTCCTGAACTCTTCTTCTGGCCTTCTTCCTTGCTAGTCTTCCCAACCTTTCTTCTCAATTGACTCTGATGGGCTCTGCTTCGCCGAGTGCTCCTTGCCCTTGCAGGCCCCCGCAGCTTCTTCTTTCTTTTTGTTGTTTGTCTTTATCCCTCGCTTTCTCTTCTCTCTCTTCTCTCTCTCCTCGCTGTCTTTCTTTCGCCGGCTCGCTCGCGCTCTCTCTCTCTCTCTCTCTCTCGCAGGTCAACACGAACCAGTACGGCCGCACCTTCGAAGACAGGACCCCCCATGCTTATAAGGCTTATATTTCACCTGATTTCACGTGATTCAACTGCAGTCAGTGGGCCCCCGAAAAGAGAAGTGCCCCAATCAGCCCCGAAGGCCCCAGCGGGTACTGAACCCACTTGTGCAGAACCCTTGCGTAGATCCGCGCGCGTAGCGCCTTACAGGGATCCGATGCCCTCGCGAGGTCTTCTGCTTTTGTGCTTTTGTGACCCGAAAAAGTGAAATGCAAGAAAGCGTTCCACGGGGCGTTCCCGAGTGACTTAAGGAGCTGCTTGGAGCTCTCTGTGTTCAGGGAACCAGGCCCGAGGCCCTTGTACAGATGACCCGGGATGTCCGGATCCTCCTGCGCTCGGTCTGTGAGACGGCATCAGCGCCGTGTCAACCGAGATTTTTTTCGATGGCCATCGGTTCCTTACGCACATCACTGTTGCTTGCCCTTAAAGTCTTATAGCCGGGCCTCCTTTCCAAGCCTTCAAAAAAACCTCCCCGAGAATCCCGGACGAGCCGAGCAAAATCCCTATTTTTTTCCCATCCTTACGGTGTCGGGTTGTTAGATTTTAAACTCAACTCTTCTCATCGCCCGGGACTCTTCTCCTCGCCCGGTCTACTCCTAGAGACTCCCTGGAGTGCCCAACCCCAGAGACCCTGGAGTGCTAAGGTGGGGATGTTCGAAGTCAAATAGTTGAATTTCCCGTTTAGTTGGTCCGTCAGAAAATTGACTACCCATCTATTCGGCAACTCGAGAGTGGCAGGTGGTTAGTTCACATGGGGTATTTTTGAATCTCCTGGCCACGGCTCCGGCTGTTGGCTTCGAAGGATTCTTCGGCTCTTCACTAATTATGGCCAGGCTCTTGAAATCTTGGGGCCCGGGATCTTGGATGTTGTTGGCTTCATGACCTAAATGAGCTACTTTCCCAGTACCGGATTTTCTCTGGCTCCCGTTGCCAGGACAACCATGGATTTCGGATTTCTGAACCACAGAGGGTCGGAGGGGACCCCCTTTTCGAATTCTGATTTGGAGCCTTCGGCGAGCAATGACTGCTAATTAAGAAGAGGCGGAGGCTGTTTGGGAGCCTTGAGCCACAGCCCCTTTAATGACCAGATGAGGAGTACCCTTCAGTTTACGTTGTTTCATTCAGCCCCCCATATCCCCAGCCCCCCGTCCCCCCCCCCATTCCCTGATTGACGCAGTTTGGTTGAGCCCGCACCCCTTGGTTTCCCGATGTCTTCACATCTGAATCGCCCCCTCGCTTGTGACCAGGACCCACAGCTTCGTCGTCACGACAGAGCCTGAGAAGTTCCGTGTCCATGTGCAAAAAAGTTCAACGATACTTCACTGTGAGTTCACGCTTCACGCAAGCGCTCAATTGGGAAACTGACAAGGGCCAAGGGCACACACACACACACACACACACACACACACACGCGTCCCAGCTTGAAATGCGTTACTGCATTGCTCACTGCTGCATCCTGTTGCAAACAGGCATGCTTCATACGCCACAGTTCCGTATGACTGGTTTGCGCATTCATGTTTTCTCTCGCTCTCTCTCGCTCACATGCTCTTTCTGTCGTTCTTTCGAGAACCATTCTTTGCCAAGTACGGAACGAGGCCGAGGCCGAGCAAAGTGCCCAGCTCGGCACGCATCGTCAACTACAATGCCATGCGCTCAGCCGCTTCGACAGGGCCCAGGTGTCTCGTTCTCCACAAATGAAAAAGTGATGGAAGGCTTAGATGCTTTTTTTCGTGCAGAGCTTTGTGCCTGTGCTGAGGAGGTGCAGCGCAGGTTCATGTTTTCATGTTTCAGGTGCGCGGTCGACGTGGCAACATCGTCCAGGCGACTCCTATATATCTCCAGTCTGTGTAGAGACATGCGTGCAGTCGACTATAGTATCGCAATGTAGTGCATGAATCATGCGCGTGCCCATCTCTGGCAGGTATATCCATCTGTGGAATACGACTTTGTACCTCAGGCCTCCGGTTGTTACTGCGGTTCCCTGCTCTGATTCGTCCTGCCTTGACTCGGTTCTTTCCTCTGCTTGTCTTCCTGCCGTAGGACCTGACGGTGTCAGTTGGAGACTACCTCCACTTCCAGTGGACTCCAGCATGTCAAACTTGAGTTCACTTCTTGTTTCTGAATGACAGCAGCAGCAACAGCAAGTGAGAGTGCGTGTCTTTCACTGGTCTCTTCGGGAAGGACGGGCTCCGATGCCAACGCGAAGGCATGTCGTGGGGTGTTCCAGTTGGGCGTCCTGTGAAAGCGTCTGCCAAGTCAAGTCGGTGAAAGCAGAGGGTGACTCAGAGCCCCTGGACCTTCTCTGCAGCAAGGTGAGCCGCTGCTGGCAGAAAGGAAACAGAATGACATAAGAGGGGGGCCTGGCAAAGCAGCTCAAATCAAAGCGCATCGTGTTTGGACAGCTTGGACAGTTGGGACAGTTGGGACAGTTGGGGGTGTTGGGGGTGTTGGGGGTGCTGGGGTGCCTGCTCTAAAGGCAAGTGCATCCATTCATCCGTGCCAGGGGAACGATGGCAATGGCCGGCAGAGCACTGACCGCTCCAACCTTGTGCAGGTGTCTGCTGGGAGCAAAGGGCCTGCACCCACGGAGTGCTACGGAGAGCACAGCAAAGCACTGCATAGTATGTATAGTATGACTGTAGAGTATGACTGTAGCGTATGACTGTAGCGTACTTTCAAGCACATACTGTAGCCTCCCCTCCCCGCGTCGACGTACCTTTTCACACCTGGCCCCGAGCTTGTGCCTTGCTTGGGGCCATTCTGAATTCTACTTGGTGACTTGATTAGGCAGCTTTCCGGGCCTTTCAAGCATTGCCATAGTTGTCGCTCTTGATCTCAGTCGTGTTTTCTACTCGCGCCCCTTTCATGTGCAAGAGAACCATCAAGAGAGCATCCGAGCCGTGAGAAAGGCAGGGATTGTGGGAGGGCACGGGCGGCACGGGTTCAGGTGGCCGACCGCGAGGCGTGCGCAGCACTTTACTTTGCGATTGGGAGCTTTCTTAAAGAATCCGAGACGGCGCTTTCGCTGAAGGAAACGGTGCCGCTTCCCTGGATTCAGCACCGCCTGTGGCCGCCTTAGACGGAGAATGTTTTGCAGAGTGAGAATTTCTCTCACTTCTCAGTTACTCAGTTCTCATCCTAAACCCTATAAACCCTAAACCCTGAACCCTGAGTTCTTCTCAAAGCTCCGTCCTCTTCTCTTTGCTTCTCTCTCTTTCTCGCGTCGTGCGCGGTTGGAGAGCGTCAGAGAGAGAGAGAGAGAGAGAGGGAGAGAGAAGGAGGGAGAAGAGAGACGCCTTTCTCTAAGGCTGGTGGACGCTGCGGCGGCCGAGGCCGAGGAGGCCAAGGAGCTGGTGAGGAGGCGCCGAAAAGGAGCTCAGAAGGAGCAGAAGGAGAGGCTGAGAGGCTGAGAGAGGCTGAGAGAGAGGGGAGGGCTGAGAGGGCTGAGAGGGCTGAGAGGGCTGAGAGGTGATCAGCGGTGATGTGAGGTGGGGAGAGGCCGGGGGAAGAGAGCGCAAGAGGCAGAGAACAAGGCCCAACTTACGAGAGAGGAAAGCCCTCAGAGAGAGAGAGAGAGAGAGAGCAGGGATGGCAGGAGAGACAGCGGAGAGATAGCCCTGAGTGTCTTCAGAACGCTCCGTGTTCCTTCTGACAAAGAGGAATGGTGTAGAGAGACACAGCTCAGTTCCAAATTTCAAAGGCGTTGGCACTCCCGCGAGGTTTGCATACCTCGGACAGTCACCGGATCTTTGCGACGCGGAAGACAACAACCAGAATAGCATCCAGAATTGCAAGCAGCTGAATGGCTTCCCTGGCGCGTGCTTCCTGGTTTTTTGTATGCATCCCCACTCTTTGAAGCTGCAGTTGAGGTCGGGCATCTGAAAGCAGGTTCAAGCAACCTTTAAGATTTCACCAAGCACCTTTTCCACAGGGCGGACACACGCCGTGCGCCTTCAAAATTCTGCATCCTTGCATCCGGCAGCCGACATGCAGCCGGCATGGCTACTCATTTGTTTCTCTTCTGTCCCTGCGCAGAAAATGCCAGAGGGGGAGGGGGGGGGAGGGGGTTAGGGAGGGGGGGGGAGGGGCAGCGGTGGGGTGCGTCACAAAATTTGGCATGGGGGGAAGGGTGGGGAAGGAGACCGGATTCGGGTCTGACGCTTCTCGGCAGGAAGCCGAGGCGAACTAGCCGTACGTCTATTGCTCTATCAGCTATAGACTATAGAAGCAACCCCCGCTTCTCGGCTGATGCGGAGGGTTTGCTTTCTCCATGGCAACTGCTTGTTGAAGCTGCTGCGGAGCAGGACGCCCCAAAACCAGAAATCAAACCACCCAAGCGAGACGAGTACCTCAGAACTCATTTTGTTTTTTGTTGTTTTGCCTCTGAATTTTGGTTGTTCCTGGGATGGTTTTGGTCATTTTTGCCTTGGTTGAAAGCCCGATCGATGCATAGCCCCATGAAAAAAAGCCGAAACAAAGGCAAAACGCGGCTTGTTGTTTGTTTGGCTTCTGAGCGGCCGGCACCCCGGCAGGAATAATCGGTTCTGTGTTTTCAAAAAACCATGATTTTCATTTGCCGTTTCCAGTGTCTTTTCGAGCCCAACATCCGTCGTGGGGGGGAAGGGAACATTACCCGAACCCTTTTCTCGGCATGGACCAACCTCGACTTTTTTTCGCCTTAGCAAAGACACGGCAACAACAGCTACACACACACAGTCTCCTGTCTAGTCAAATGTGATCAAAAGCAATGTCATTTTGACATTTTGGCCGCCCATGCACAATCAACAAACTTACGTCGGCCACACGTGGCGCTGCAAAAAGGGTGTGCGCTTGACTGTTCTCTCAGTGCGCTTGCCCGCTTTGCATGCCAGCCAAGACCCGGCTTATGGCAGTCGTCCCAATCATGCCTGAACCGAAGTGTATGAGCCCCTTTCAGCACCGATCACATCTCTGTTGGCAGCTTGTTACAACCCTATTGCAACTGTTATTTGCAGTAAACGCCCGCTAAAATTTCTGCTAAAAAATGAAAATGATATCAGACTTTGGGTTGCAAGCTATCTATCCTGTTTTTCCAGTGATTCCGACGCCCGACATATTCGAACCATGAACACTGCATCAATGGGGATCGGAAGCAATTCGTTCAAGCATGCTACCATAGAGCCCAACAGCGACAGACTCTGTGAGCCCATACGCCAAAAGGTGATTACATCCAAAAAACGACGACTGTTTCTCATTTCGGATTTCGCGAAACCAGAAGCCGAAAAACCATGACAGTGTCGAGCACCATGCGCGCGGCTAGGCGAGAGCAAGCTTGTCGTCCAAATGCAAGAGGCTTCGAGAAGCCCACAGCCCGCAAGACCGCTCGACCTAGCTGCTTCTTTCTCTGAACGCTGGAACCCCTTGTTGTTGACGTGTAGAAAAGACTTTCATTTATTTTGTTGAGGTAAGCTCTCCGCTGTACATCTGAGCCGGTTCTTTGAATCCATGCAGTTCATTGCAAGGTGCTTTGGAAGTTTGATTGGGCTCCAGTTCAATGTACAGTAAAGGAAGCCCTACTACCAGCTTCTCATCAAGCCTTGCGAACCATGCAGGAAGTCATGTATAATCGGGGCACCGGGGCCTTTGCACACGAGTCTTTTAGCAAAAAGTTCGGGAGTTGACGGTATGGAAAGATCTCCCTCTATCATAGAGTCCCCCGCTTCTTTTTGTTTCTCAAAGTTGCGCAGATCATGGTGATCATGGGGTAGTCTCGGGGTAGTCTGAGAGCTCAAAGCTGCCAGGTGCCCCCGCGTACTTCGACGGTGGCCTCGTGGAGATGAAGACTGTGGGTCGGCACCAGGCTCCCCGCTTCCGACACTTCCGTGTCCCTTTTTTGTCCCTTCTTCTTCGAAGTGAAAGAGAGCCCTTATGAACTTATGGCCGCCGTCGGCCCTTTGGGATCCTTTGGGGGAGTTTGTCAGTGCGTAAGGAAGAACAGCCTCATACAGTCGAACCCCGAAGACATAACATTTTTGCCTGCCTTGCTTGCAATCACTGGGGGGAAAGGAAACAAGAAGTCGTGGAATTCAGCGGTCACACTGATTGCAGACTTTGAAGCTTCTCTCTCGGTGCGCTGGTACCCATAGCAACATCATATCACACACACACACACGCTTCATGCCAGGGTCAAAACACAATCATGCGTCACGAATCCGACCATTCTGCAAGCATCGCCAGGGGATTTGCATGTTCTAGACATGTGACTGAAAGCAATTTGCTGGTTTCCTTTTGCCAGAAGCCATTTTGGTGGGGGGCTCGTGGGTGACAGGAGTCGGACCCTAAACTGTAAACTGTAAACCCTCTGCTTGGCTTTGAAAACAGACAGACTCTGTAGACATTCACAAATCGCACTTTGGAGTATGGCCAGCCGTATCGCCGGGGTATCGCCGCACGTATCGCCGCGGCCCGCAACTCCCAAACCCTAAAACCCCCTCAACCCCAAGCGTGGACGCGCAAGGCTGCACAAAACAATGCGATCGATTACTGTGTCACCAGCGGTTCATTGGGGGGGAAAGCGAAATGTTATGAGTTCCGACTGTTGGTTTTCCGTGCAAAAAGGACCCATTGCATACTTGTTTTGTGTGCTTGAATCCCAGCAGTTCATTGGGGGGAAAGCCAAATGTTATGACTTCCGAGAAATAGGCCATAACGTGCAGTTCCTTGCGGGGAAGGTTCCCCCACTGCAATTGGTTATGACTTCGGGGTCGCACTGTAAGTTGAGTTTTGCATGTTTGCCCCCTCACGTGTGACACTGCTCAAGGAGCTCTTTGTTGGCTCTATCCTGAACCCCGGTCAAGCTGCAGCGCGAGTGTTCATCTTGGCGCCCCTCACTCACCCTCTGTCCGGTGTCGACAAGTCGACAGTCTGACGTCGAAGCAAGCTACTCACAACGAGTAAGACATCACTGGATAGGGAGTGCTTCAACGCAGGTTTTGCGCCAACTCCATTTGCGGGCGTCTCTCTCGGTCTCTGCGCAGTGTCTGAATGTCTGGCGGTGGCAGGTGGTGAGCACCCGGAACAACGACTTCTCCAACCGCTCGCACAAGGCCCCGAGAACTGCTCATGTCTCCCGTCGCGCAAAGAGTGAGTGACAGAGAGAGAGAGAGAGGAAACAAAAAGAGAAAAGCCAAACGACTCTCGAGTCTCAGTGAACCAACTTTGCAGAGCACGACAAGACCGCAAGATGGCCGCCTCCCCCAAACGAAGGGGCGGGAAGGTTTGGAAACACTGCGAGGCCTACAAGGCCTACAAGGCCTAACCCCCCCCCCCCCTTCCCCTGCAAAATCCTCCTGCGCCGTCTCCTCAGCTGCTGGTTCGCTTCTGCTCATTGACTTGACAATAAACAAAGCTCAAGGTTCAAATGTAGAAAGATCATAGAGAAGCCAAGAGGACGGAATTGCACGAAGCTCCTTGCATCAATGTCGCAGTGGTGCTTGGGCACACAGCTCCGCACCGCAGCGCAACCATCATGGGCAGCACGAAAAGCACCCGCAAAGCCATCACTACCGCAGCAACAAGCAGCTACGTCTGCGGTATACGGTGCTCACACTGTGCGAATGCCACCTTGCTGATTCGTTTCAGTCACGGCTTTCCATGAGCTCCCTCGGGGCAAAAACACTCCTGAAATGACGACACGCCTGCAAATGGCTCAAAGTCGGGATCCTGATTCCTAAGCCATCCTAAGCCTGTTGCATGCCATCTCATCGTTGCGTCAAAACAGATGCTGTGAGCGCAACTGAACAGTGACAGCGCACTCAGAGTCTCGTTTGCGGGGAGAGGCCTCGATTACGGTGGTTCCTCGAAGCTGGAGTTGGCAGGAGGTGCAGGGGAAATCTGGAATCCGGAGTGCGAGCAATCAGGTCCTCTGATGTTTGCTTGCCTTTTGTTTGCGGGGAGTGTCAAAGGCGCTTGTCGCTCTCTCTGTCTTTTCTCCTCATGCTTTCTTTCGAGATGCGCGCGCTCCTGTGTGTCTGTGTACGTGTACGTGTTCGTGTTGCAGAGGTTCTGTTGCTGGTAGCGGGCCTGGTCCTGCTGCTGGGCCTCTTGACCTACCTGGCCCTCGCGGCCAGGGCCCTAACCAGCCCAGAACCTTTCTTGCCGACTACCAACCTTGGACTTTCGCGGAAGTCGAAAGGGTCAACGCGAACGGGTACAGGCTTACTGCAAGAATGCCCGAAACAGCCTCGGGACCTGAACACCCGAACCCCCGCCCCACCTCTCCCCCCTTCTTCCCAGGACTTAAGCAGCAGGAGACGTTCGTTTTCCTCCCCTCCTCTCTCAACGCTTTCTCTGCTTCCGCGGAATCCCAGCAAAAGGGCGGCCGCGACGATCTTCGCGGGGTCGTTTAAAGGCCACGCAGGACAAGCTTGCTTGGCTGACACAGCCTGCAGAACAGCAATAGATTTGAATACAAGGCTAAGCGGATAAACGTGACAGGAAAGACATGATCACAAGGTTGGGCGGCAGATGAAAAATGTACTCGGTTGTCTCCCAAGCACCAAGCTGCGAAGGATAGTGTTAAAGACATCAGGCGCTGTGTTTGGACAACTCGCACAGGGCTAGCCCACTTCCTAAAGTTGAAAGAACTTAGACTTTGACCTTGGCCATTGGAAGCAGAATTTACGCGGGGATCGACTATGATGCCTCTGCACCCCTTTTGCGAAGTGTCTCTCAACTTGAATGTGGAACAGTTTTCCTTCTTTTCATTGACCCGGCAAACTGGGTCCCGCTTTTTTTTTTGGGGGGGGGGGGGGGGGGGGGGGGGGCGAAGACGAAATTGCGAAAACGATGAAGACGAAAATGTTTGCAAGGACCTGAAGCCGAAATTGTGTGCGAAGACGACAATTGAAGACGAAATTCGGCCCGAAGACGAAAATCGGACGAAGACGAAATTCGGGTTCAGGAAAAACTGAAGACGAAATTTTTGCCGACGACGAAATTCGACCCGAAGACGAAATTCAGGAAATTCGGCCCAAAGACACAATTTGCCTGGAAATTCGGCCCAAAAGACGAATTTCGGCTCGAAGACGTCACAATCAGGTTTGACACATGTGGTGTAGGGAATTTTGGGGTTTTAATTTGTATGTCATACAAAACACTCTGCAACAAAAAAACAAAACAAGAAAGCAACAACGCAAACACCAAAATCAAGTTTGACACATGTGGTGTAGGGATTTGTTGGGTTTGTTATTTGTAATCAGTATTAAAACACATTCATACACATGTAAAATCATGCAAAGCGCTGAGCAAAACAAACAAAAACGAGAAGACAGCAAAACAAACTTCTTGGGGTCCTTTGTTTAAGGGGATCCTATTTGGAGCTCCAAAATGGCCTGAAGCCAAAATTCGGCTCTGAGATTCGGTCCCTGAGGCTGGCTCTGTACAAGTATGCTAAGGCAGTCCCAAACGGAACCTCTACATCTCCCGCAGCAAGAGTTTCGGGTACGGGGCAACCAAAAGCGGAGAAGCAACCCAGAACCGCACCCCCTAAGGTCGCAAATTTTCGGGCAAAACCAAACCGTCCCTTTACTCCCTGAAGAGGTACCAACCAAGGCGAGGTTGGTCCAGTGTGGGGTTACCGGCCCTAAGGCAACGCAAACACCCCAACCAAGGCCACACCCCGGCACCCAACCCTGCGGGCCCTACTCTTTGTCTGATGGCGCTCCAGGCCGTTCTTGAGCCACGTGCCTTCCGGCACGTATATGTTTGCACAACTGCTTCGACGCAGTTACATCTCCGCACTCCCCCTGTCCCAGGTTTCCTGGGGCACCCTGGGAGATGACCATTTTGGCCAAAAACTGCACTTTCTGGCATTCAATCTGTACATCCCATCTTTCTTTCAACCAAAAGCTGCTTCGTCAGGCATAAATCCAAGTGTGGTTCTTCACCCAAAAAGTCCACACTCACAATCCAGTCCGTGTTAACACATCGCTTGCACATAGTTCGAGCGCGTTAAACCCCTTCAAGCTCCGAACCTCATGGCGGTTGTCACTTCGAAGCATAACATCATTTGGGCTCAAATAATTTTCAAACGCTGCAAATGAGAGTTTCCGATATGAGGGGGTACCTTCTCGTGGTCCTTTGTACAAGGGGATCCTATTTTGGCGCTTCATAGTGTGGATGATCTCATGGGTTGAGTTTCATTAGATCTGCAAGGGCAAGTGAGCTGCAAGTGAGGGTTTCCGATATAAGGGGGGGGGTACCTTCTTAGGGTCCTGTGTGTAAGGGGATCCTAGTTTGGAGCTCAAAAACATGTCAAGTAATCTCAAAAACAACTCAAACAAACCACTCAATAGCTCAAATAACACTCAAAAACCCCATATTGCCCCAGCGCCCGCTTGTAGGAATTCTCCTCGCCCGCACCGACACACCGATGCGCTGCGCCCCCCCGGACCCGGAAAGGCTTCGTGTCCAATGCTGATATATGATCCTGCGCGGGGTGTGCATAATAACTCTCATGGTGAGTGCAATAATGCTTTTGGTGCGTATAATCATGCTCATGCATGCAAAATCTGGGGTCTTTCAAAGGCCCTACGCCCTGCGATTTTGGTCTTCTGCTACATGTATCTAGACGAGAGTTCCCCAACCCCCCAGAGTTTTCAATATCAGTTTTGGAAAGGGGGCGGAAGGGGGTCGGGCCGCGATAGGGGCTCACCCTGGGCCTCGGGAACCCGGTCCATTTCTTGTCCAGGTTTGCAAGGGTTTTTTTCTGGGGGTGGCGGGAGCTCTACTGTAGCTAATATACTAGCTATCCCTGAAACTTAAGGCTGCCGGTTCTTTTTTTTTTTGGGGGGGGGGGGGGGGGGGGCCTGGTTTTTTCCGGGACCTCGCCCATTATGGCATACGTGGGATTGGCCGGAGCATCATTGCGTGGGATTGGCCAGAGCGATGAAAACGTCCGTGTTATGCGTGGGATTGGCGGGACCGATGATAGCGTCCGTGTTACCAGTGCGAGGGATTGGCCACAGCACCCATGCCATGATAACATGGGATTGGCCAGAGTGTGATGATCACGTCCGTGTTCCCAGCGCGTGACATTGGCCAAAGCATACACGGCCAAACCATGATAGCGTCCGTGTTACCAGTGCGTGGGATTTGCCAGTGCATCCGTGGCCGAACCATGATAATGTCCGTGTTACCAGTGCGTGGGATTGGGCAGAGCGTCGATAACATCCGTGTGACCAGTGCGTGGGATTGCCGAAACATGATGACGTCTGTGTTACAAGTGCGTGGGATTGGGCGGAGCCATGACAACGTCCGCGTTACCAGTGCGGATTGGTCAGAGCATTCATGGCCGAACCATGATGACGTCCGTGTTACAGTGCGTGGGATATGATAACTTCGTGTTTCCACAGTGTGCCTTCGGCAAGCACTCGGTCCTCCAAGCGGGCGCCGAAGGGGCAACTCTGGCTTTTCATCATGTTAGACTGCGGGGTACTGGTAGTTACCGAGGTGGCCAGAGGCGAACCTCACCCAGTCCTTACGGGGTCTGGAGTCCCTGTTGAGGTGTTGGGTTCGTAGGGCGTGGTTGGGGGCTGGTGTTCTGATGTGTTTGGAATTTCAAATATTAACGGGGGCTGTGGCACTTCAGGCCCTAGGGTGTCTCAGCACTCTGATCAGTCTACGGGTTCGGCCCGGGATGAAGGGTCACAGTCATTGGACGCTCATCGGCGAGGTGCATATGGGCTATAGTTCATATACTCGGGAGCAAGGCACTTACTGCGTCAACTGGAGGGCGGTGAAGCGGATAATCGTACGTGCGAAATGCGGGTATGCTAGTTGGGACAGCGGCAGGTCGCATGAGCGAAGATGTCGTGTCTCAAGGGCTTGGGGACGCGTAGTCTGGTATGTTTGCCCTCTCGCTCTTCGAGCCTCGTGAACGGGGAGGGGTGGTGGAGGGGATCTGGGCTGAAGGGGAGGTGATGTTCTGATGCTCGCCAACGCGCGTGTAAATGAACAGACGGCCATGCTGCCAGTCTCCGGCCCGGCTATATGCCGGTAACCGTGCCCAGGATTGACCTGGAAGCGCCCTATACGGGCGAGGGCTCCGGGGGGGGCAGGCTTGGGCGGGAAAGTTTGGCCTCGGGCCAACGGCGGCAACCAGGTGATGTGTTGGAGGGCCACGCGAGGTGAGTAGTGACAAGGAGCTGATTTTCGAGATGCTGTGTCTAGTCGTAGGTACATTTAGATTGCCGCCTTTTAAGCCGCACTGAGCGAGAGAGGAGAGGTACTTGTTTTGTGTTGTTGGTTGCTCGACACATATCTAAGCCGCAGTAGGTGGGAATGAACGGGAGTAACTTTGTGCCTTTTTGATGCTCTGGGTGTCGGGGCTGGTCCGGGGGGGGGTTGTGCTGAGATCGACGCGCCCTGGGGCCCTGAGTCTGGAGGTTTGGTATGTCTTGGTCTGTACTACAGGACTGGGCTACATCCGTCGCACACTACTACTACTACTACTACTACTACTACTACTACTACTACTACTACTACTACTACTACTACTACTACTACTACTACTACTACTACTACTACTAGGCGTCACGTTCTTAATTGATCGCAGGGGTTTTGTGGCGTGCAATTTTCGTGTTAAGAGACGAAAACCTCGGTATTTACAGTGTTTCCTGGCTTTGTCCGTTTACGGACACGAAAAATGGACGTGTAAAAAGTCCCGCAAACTACTTTCAACTACTTTAGGCGCAGGAGGAAAACATCGGTATTTACAGTGTTTTCGGGCTTCAAAAACGGTCAATTACAGGGCATACTTTGCGCAGACGTGTTCTCAGAACAGAGGAAAAGACCGGTATTTACAGCGTTTCGCGGGTTTTCTAAGATGTGGCCAAACTTGTCCTTAAACCCGAACGCCTCCAGCAAGCCGAACAGTCGTGCACCCTGAAATCCGAAACCCCGAAACCTGAAGCAAGCCCAAGAGTCGTGCACCCTTAAAATCTCAACCCCACAGCGTCAAGCACGTCCCCAGAAAAAACACAAAACATCTGGAGCCTGAAACCCCAAACCCCATGTGTACCCTGAATGACAAAGCAGTCCCACAGTGCACCCCCTTAAACCTTAAATCCCATAGAAAAAGCCCAAAAGTCCTTTCACCTTACAGCCTCAACCCCAAACCCTTCCCTTAAACCCTCAACCCCAAATCCCAAAAAAGCCCAGAAGATCCCTAAACCCTCCACTGTGAATCCCAAAAAGCCGAAAAGATCCCGAAACCCTCCACTGTGAGCCCAAAAGGTCTTACCCTTAAACCCTAAACCCCAAATCCCAAAAAACCTCAAAAGGTCTCTACCCTCAAGCCCCAAACCCTAAACCCTCCACTGTAAGCCCAAAATGTCTTGCCCTGAAA